CATTATCTGGCTCTATTTTCAACAATTGACTGAGGTCTAAAAGTGATTCGTTGTATTTTCCCAATAATCCGTACGTTGCCCCACGATCTTCCAATGCAAGAGTATTATTTTGTTCCATCTCCAATGATTTGTTTAAATCTAAAAGTGCTTCGTCATATTTTCCTAATATTCTGTAGATTCTTCCACGATGCCTCAAAGCAAGAGCATTATTCTGTTCAATCTCCAGTGACTTATCGAGATCTAAAAGTGCTTCGTCATACTTACTCAATATTCCGTAGGTTGATCCTCGAATAGCCAACAAAGTGGCATCATTTGGTCGTATTTCTAGTAATTTATTAAGATCTGAAAGAGATTCATTGTGTTTTTCCAAAATCCTATATATTTTTTCGCGATTTTCCAACGCAAAGACGTCATCCGGACTCAACTCTAATGATCTATTAAGATCCATAAGGGCTTTAGTATATTCACCTAGCATTTTGTACACTACTCCACGATTTCTTAATGCAAAAGCGTCATCCGGTTCAAGCTCTAATGATTTGTTTAAATCTAAAAGCGATTCATTGTATTTATTTAGCATCCTATAGGTCACCCCGCGATTAGTTAATGTAAAAACGTCATTGGGCTCAATCTCTAATGATCTATTAAAATCCAAAAGTGCTTCGCTATACTTGTCTAACTTTTTGTAGGTCATTCCACGATTGCTCAGTGTAGATGCATTGTTCGGTTCTATTTCCAGTAATCTATTGAGATCTAAAAGTGATTCTTGATATTTACCTATAACTCGATATATTCTCCCACGAATTCGTAACCCTAAAGCATTATCTGGCTCTATTTTCAACAATTGACTGAGGTCTAAAAGTGATTCGTTGTATTTTCCCAATAATCCGTACGTTACTCCACGATTTTCCAATGCATGAGCATTATTTTGTTCCATTTCCAATGATTTGTTTAAATCTAAAAGTGCTTCGTCAAATTTTCCTAATATTCTGTAGATTCTTCCACGATGCCTCAAAGCAAGTGCATTATTTTGTTCAATCTCCAATGACTTATCGAGGTCCGAAAGTGCTTCATCATACTTATTCAATATTCCGTAGGATGATCCTCGAATAGCTAACAACGCGGCGTCGTTTGGTCGTAACTTTAATAATTTGTTAAGATCTGAAAGAGATTCGTTGGGTTTTCTCAGAATCCTATATATTTTTTCGCGATTTTCTAGCGCAAGAACTTCATCTGGACTTAATTCCAATGATCTATTGAGATCCGTAAGCGCCTTGGTATATTCACCCAACATTTTATACACTACTCCGCGATTGCTTAACGCAAAAACATTATCCGGTTCAATTTCCAATGATCTATTCAAGTCCAAAAGTGAATCATTATATTTTTTTAGCAGTCTGTAAGTCACCCCACGATTTGTTAACGCGAAAATGTCATTTGGCTCGATCTCTAATGATCTATTGAAATCCATCAGCGCATCATTATATTTGCCCAACTTTTTGTAAACTGCTCCACGGTTTTTTAACGCAAAAGAATTATTCGAATTTTTCTTGAGAGTGTTGTTCAAATCTAAAATTGCTTCATCTAATTTTCCCAAAATTCTATAAATTTCACCACGATTTTCTAACGCAATGACATCCTCCGGTTCTATTTCCAGTAATCTATTGAAATCGACGAGTGCTTCTTTATATTGGCCTATTGCTTTGTACGTTTTCCCACGACTTCTAAGTGCGTGTGCGTCATATGGTTCTATATCCAATGACTTATTAAGATTTAAAAGCATTTGTTGAAATTGAGAAGATACGTCTTTATTTTCCACCTAGAATAAGAACGCACCGAATGTAAGAATGTATAAGTTTCAGGTCCTTATACAGTATGAGACTCTCACACTTAATTATCAATAATTAAATTTTACCATATTATGTTCCATATTTCATAATTTAAATACAGAATTCTTAATTGAGAAAATTTATTTTTTTCTTTTTCTTTCTGTTGTAATACATCTTATTGAGACTGTATTGTAGTCCTCTGGATAGGAGGACCAAGTCTTAGTTTGGACATGAACCTGCATATTTTTACATTCCGTAGTAGCACATAATGTTTAAATCCACGAGACATTATCTATATACAGTACTTGTTATATCTTGTTCATATTAAGCCAAATAATAATTTTTAAATTTCTTTCAATTTTTGAAACACAATTAAATAAAAAAGAAGAAACAATGTTAAAGGCAAAGGTCATAACCAAGAATTTTTCATATTACATGTAATAATCAATATTCTAAACATAGGCAAAATAAAGAGAAGCTATTATTTTAATTTATAAATTTACTTAAATAAATATGTTTATTGTTTAATATAAATAATATAAACATTTTATTTATAAAAATTGAAAACAATTTAATTTAAAATAAATAAACAAATAATAATAATAAATAATTGGATTATATTTACTGTATATCGAGAAAACATATGTACAATATAAGGAAGATCTTTTCCTTTGAAAAATAACAAAGTTGTTTGGTTTCTCTATAATTTAATAAAGTTTTTCTTTATTAATTATAGAAAATATCTTGTTTATAATGTCTTCTAACATATAATATTACAGTTACTTTCAACTTTAGAAAAAATAATACAAAAAGAAACAAAAAGAAAACAAAAAAAAATTGTTTTTTTTTTTTATTTACAACTTCAACTTTTTATTTAATATTTTCATATAACACTTTCAACTAAAAATCCATTCAACTTTTTCAGAAATTAATTAAATTATTAATTTAATATTGCACAATTGAAAACATATAAAAAAACATATCTTGTTTATTTTTTCTATAACTAATATAATTAATTTATAAATTTGATCAATTATTTTCAAAAGATCTGATATAATCAAAAATTTAGAATCAAATTGAAATAAACAAAATTCTTCAAAAAAATTAAAAAAAAGAAAGTATACTTAAAAAAAAAAAAGTTCAAAAATTAAAGAAATAATAAAGAACTTAGACTTTTTTGTTTGTTTCTTTAAATTTTTGAATTTTTTAAGAGTCTTTAAAAAGTATTTTTTTTCTTATCAATTTTTTTTCTAAAAAGATATTCTTATTATAAATTTTTTAAGTTTTTTATATTTAATTGCAAAAATAAACAAGAAAGTATTTTTTAAAAAAAAAGAAAAACAAGTAATAGCTACTGCTTATTTTACTGATTAAAAAATCAATATTGTAAAAAAATTATTTTTTATTTTTTTTTATAGTAGAATGGCATTAGATGCAGGAATTTTATTGAAGTAATTATCAATGTTACATATACATCAAACA